TGGAGCCGAAAGAGGAACTTTACCCTCATCTTTGAAATGACAACAAACACAACTTTAGAAATGTTTAGTAATGACAATCTACAAACATATACAGGTGAAACTCGAATAATTAGAATATCGTGCAAAGTTCATTTATTTCACTAATGCAACTTAAAAGGTGAAACTAATATATGAGATAGACTCATTACATGCAAAGCAAGATAGTTCAAGCCGTGATTTGTCATAATTGTGATGATTATGGCTTACAGCTCATGAAAACCCCAAGAACCCCAAATCCACAACCTCAAAAAAGTAGATTATTACATGCAATCAATAAAACAAGGATTGTACATAGAACAATATCGGACCTCTGAAAAGCACAAGCATGCATATGTACTCAGTACTTGGTTTGGGCCCCTTTTGCAGCAATTACTGCCATTACTTTTGCACGATATTCTAATTATTCGAGTTTCACCTGTACTTCTAGATAATTGCCGGCTTTGTATACCTTGTTTTTGATTTCCTTCTTACAGTGGCCTTTCTTTTTTTTTTAACTAAGGGCAGATTACTAGATCTCCCTTTACTTCCTGGAACTCTTGCACATGTGACTAGGACATGTGACCATGCACATCATCTCAGTGGAGGAAAATGCATTTCCCTGAGAGCTCATGGAAAAAAACCAGGATGAGATTTCCCAGCAGTGCTCTGCTGATGTAACCTTCCCAGGATGCAACGCTTGGGTACATTACATTAGATTGACAGGGTCAATAAAAAGAAAATTAATGTACATATTATAGAAAAAAAGTTTTATCTTTCCAAAGCTTAGTCCTCTTAGACAGCATTCATGTATAGCTTAGTGAGAAGGCCTGTGGGAGGCGAGATTCAGACCTTAACTGCCGTGTAGTCGGGGTAGCCATAGGAATCAGACAAGAATTTTTAACCTGTCCAATTGTTATTTCCCCCCATAAACCGTGGCAAACGGAAAGTAATTAGCATCTATGACCGTATTAAGTAAACACAGGTCTTCAGCTACTCCATGAAACCAAAACCCAGACCGAACAATTTGTTTAAAGAGAACCTGTTTTAGTGCACAGTTGAATTATTTCTCTTTTCAGACCTAAAATTACAAATGACTGTCCCTTTGTTAAAAAGGAAAAGGATGTTTATCTTGATGCGAAGTGCCAAATTTGGAACAATAATGAAACATAAGGAAGTACCCCACAGCCGCCTTTGATGTGACAGTTGAATGGCCCACAATGCTTTTTTTTTAACTTAGAACTGGTTATTGTTAACTGAAAGTATGATGTCCATTGGAAGGAAGTACATAAGACATGTTTAAATGTGTATCCTCTGTCTTTTGCCTTTTGCTTTACTGTCACATCACTAGCAAACTACTACGTACAGCCTTCCCACTCATATCATGCGTGATACTCAGGAGATGCTCTAAAAATGCTCTACAAATATGTTAAAATAGTAATGTAAATAATACAAAACTTTTCCATCATGCTGCCAAGTTTGACTGTTATGTAAATAAGGTTTAGTTACTGGATGATGTAAATGGTTGTTAAAGTCACATAGCAACCAAAAAAGAAGCTGCTAAATATTGTGCTTACGACATTTATGTCTATTGCATACAAAAAAAACACATACAAAATGATGGCTGCGAACTGTAAAATAGGCTTTTTTTACTCACCATAAAGTCCTTTTCCTGAAATGCATTACGGGACACATGAAGTCTTAAACCCTTGGGGATATACCATCGCCTAAAAGACAAATGGAAACCGACAAAAGGACTGTAGGCCAGCCCATTATATAACCCCTCCTATTACCAGCATACATGAGTTGTGTAACAAAAGCAGTACCAAGAGAATGACTATAAACTCAGAGGCGTGGGACTTGTGCCCTTCAATGGATTCCAAATAAATGAATTTATAGGGAGTAAAAAAAATATATTTTTTCTGAAAGCAGTGGCTGAGAGAAAAATAAATAAAAACACACACACACACAGCTTGAACCACATCTAGGCATTGGAGGGAAATTTACTTGTAGTGAACTGGAGCCAGACACAAGGACAGAAGGGTCAAAGATAGAGACTACCTTGGGGAGAAAGAAAGTCTGGCCTCAACACCACCATGTACCCATACAAGACCAAAAAGGGTTTCTTGAAGGGTAAGGCTGCTAGTTCACACACTCACCTAGACAAGGTGATATAACAAGGAAAATGACCTTGCAGGTCAAAGTACAGAGAGGAATGTCTCCAATACATTTAAAAGGGGTCTTCTGAAGCACTGAAAGAACCAGATTGAGAGAGGACTGGAATTGGGGGATAGAGATCACCCTTACTGAGAAATGTCTGGGGTGAAAGCCCTTAAAGACTGATAACAAGCAAAGTATGCTTTCCACATCTGATAATAGACCTTGCGGGTAGTGGACTTGATGCAGGATAAAACAGTTCTTGGGACAGCAGATCAGGACAGTCTAGCAGAACCTAAGGTGTGTCAGTGAGAAATCTTACTAGGCATGTGCATCAGTTCCAAGAACAATGAGGTCCTCTGAAATGCCTTTCATTCTTATCCTGCAGAGCAGACGAGGAAGACGCTTCAGGGGAGGAAAGGCAAAAATCACGGAGTATTAATTCCATTGCACCACTAGTGCCTTAACTACTTTTGCTAATGGATCCCTGAACCTGGATACAAACCTGTCCACTTGGTTGTTACATTTGGAGGCAAAGAGGTTCACATACGGCGTCCCCCATACATGACAAGTCCTGGAACACCTCCAGGTGCAGAGACCACTCACCAGGTCCAGATGCTACCAGCTAAGAAAATCTGCCTGTTAATTGTCTACGCTGGGAATGAAAACTGCTGACGAGGTTGGAATACGATATTCTGCTCAGGACAGGATCCTCTCTTGCTGAAGTTAGACCTATGGTTCCTTCCTGATGATTAATGTACGCCACCACCAAAGCTGCACCCAGACTCTTGTTGTACACCCAAGGAGTAGAAGACAAGGTGATGGAAGGGCCATGAACAGCTAGTGCAGAGGCACTATAGCAAAACCCAGGAAGCATTGGCAAGCTGGAAAGATAGCCACATGTAAGTAGGCATCTTTGATGTCAATTGAAGCCAGGAAGTCTACCTAGTGAAGGGAAGAGGGATGAATGTAAACATTCAGACCCTTGAGATCCAAGGTGGGGAGAATGCCTCCTTAGGGTTTTGGAACAGTAAACAGGTTGGGAGTATAACCCCTGGAACCTTTCTGCAACAGGAACCCGAGGTATGCTCCGGACATCCAAAGAGTGCTCAATGGAGATCAGCAAATCATTAAGGAGACACAGGCTGTTACATATAAGCGTAGAGCCGGCCGATCGCTTGTATGAAAGTAAAAAGTGTGCTCCCCCTCCATTGCGGCGCTCCCTCTCCCCGCCAGTTATCCCGGGCTCGGCAACAGCAGCTGCTTGTACAGAAAAGGAGGAGATTCCCCCACCGTTGATCTCTCCTCCATTCTCTCTAATGCCAGAAGCGATGTATATTAAATCACTTCCGCCTTTAGCTGTCATTTCTCTGGCTGCTAGCTAGAGAAGAAGCTGGTAAAGCAGATCTGTTCTTAATCAGCTTCTTTGGGGGTCCCTAGGTGACAATAGGGGTCTTAGAGACCCTTGATGTCCCCATAAAGAGGACCTGTCCCTGTATATTATTCATCACATAAGGGGCTTGTTAGTAATGTGATAGCATAAAGAGGACCTATTTTAAGAATAGAAGAAAAAAAAAAAAAAAACTTAAAACAAAAAATTAAACTTCTATTAATAAAAATTATAAGTCCCCCGCGTGCTCGCACTTATAAACATAAATATGCATGGGAACATCACACGTTACATAAGGCCGCAAATGTGGGAGTGTGAGCAATAATTTTAGGGCTATTACTCACTGGGAACACTAAATGGATGATTAGTCCATTAGTGCTTTTAAAGCATCGCCTATGGCCAATTTTAGGCATGGTAGTTTTTCGCGATCTCGCATGGCGTACGCAATTTTGAGGTTGGACATATTTGGTGTATTTATCCGACGTGGCCAAGTCTTTTATATTTTACCAAAAAATTGGGTAATGGTAAACGTTTTATAACAAAAGTGGGGAAAACAGGTTCTCTTTCAAAATTTTATGAAGTTAATTCATTATATATTAAAAAAATAAAAACCCCAGTGGCGATTAAATACCACCAAAAGAAAGCTGTCACCAAAAATGGTATAAAATTAATTTCAGTACAGCGTTGCATGACGGAATATATGTCAATCAAAGTACTGCAGCGCTGAATACTGAAAAATGGCCTGGACAGGAAGGGGGTTTAACACCGCGGTCAGCAAGTGGTTAGTCCATTTCCACCTTTGTTAATAATTAGCATTTATTGTGGTAATGTAGGTGTAATGTTGATGTATACAGGTGCACATTTTCATAACGCAAATTGCAGGCTTTCTTCATTTTTTTAAAGAAGGTTTTATTAGACCTGAAACCTAAAAATTAAACATTTTTTCCACAGGAAAAGCAGTCTGATACCAGGGTGTCAGATTGTAATCAGTTGCCTTCTCCCTGTTGCCCATTTGATAGTAGGGGGGGGGGGGGGGGGGGGGAAGAGACACACACACACATGTTTCTTGCACAGAGGCAGAAATTCCCATGCAGATATGAAGATGAAAGCTAACAAAAAATGTGTGTTCATATATACATCAGCTACATATGGCTCCTTCATGTACACTCGTACATTGCTGCCATATCTTTTTTAAAATACATCTGCAAAGGTGGAAATGGGCTTTAAATACAGAGTGAGGATAACAGTGTTTAAGTTCAATAAAGTGTAAAGGGTTCAGGAGAGTAGGCAATATGACACCAGGAAATGCCAACTTACTGATACATGTAACTGATCGGTCAACAGGCTCTAATGCATCGCATACACATACTCCAGAAGAACACACTTAATTCTTCAAGAAGTATCAATGAAAATCACAAGAACAGCATTTATGTACTGAAAAAGTTGTTCATACTTTAATTAAAAAAGAAAATCTTACAAGTAAGTTCTGCCCTAATCAGTGGGCTCTAGCAAACATAAAATGCTGGAACAATCTATTGTGGAATCTGATAAACCAGAATAGAACAGCTGGAGAAATGATTTGCATTACAGAAGTCCTTGACGTTTCAGATCTTCATACGTCTTCTTATTAACAACATTCCCGCTGGAATCTTCATATTCTTCCTGTAAATGAAAATCTCTGCATTAGTTAGGGAGAATCAAGTACTGAACAATTATTTAATTAGGCTCTTAGAGGTAGACTCCGGTGAACATACAACTGGGTAACAGTTGCTTAATGCTGAAAAGCCCTAGAACTACTCAGATCTACTAGAGTGTGCCTTGATGGAAAAGGGCGGGACCCAAATCTTGAGACTAAGCTGAAATGAAGGTCTGATCCAACTAGAGATGGGGGAAGGAGAATCTAAAGCGTATGCTGGCGACGTACACTGTACGTCGTCAGTCACGAAGGGGTTAAACAGAGTCTGTCAATACGGCATTACAAAAAGGGAATAAGTCTTCTGAAAGAAGCAGTGGCCGAGAGGAAAGCTCTTGCATCCCAAACCATCCCAAACCACATCTAGACAATGGAGGGAAACTTCCCAAGGAACTGGAGCTACAGTGGGACAGAAGTAGGTCAAAAGCTAGTCCAAAGAGACACTTTGGATCATGCATGCGGATCAACTGCTTTTAACACAATGGTTCTACAGTCCAGCACTTTAGCCAGTGTCCTAGGCATATGAAACGGACATTGGGACAAATGCATGAAAAAGAGACAGGAGCCCTACCAAACCATAAAAGCTGAAATTTAAAGCTACAGCCATCTGCTCTTCGCATTCTAAGGACCAACCCCAGCATTGGTTAGATCTTTTTTAAGGGGTTTTGACCAGCCAGACATGGTTTGACAAATGTCACAGTCAGGATCGGATGAATGGCAGGGCCTACCAGTGAGAGCCAAGCCATAGAAAGAGCTTCCAATCGCTTATCGGTTGGATGCTTAAAGACAGGTATCTCCTACCAGAATGGTAGGCGTCCTAAGGCGGGACACTGCCGAATCCACAGTAGGGAATAGACCACATCTGCACAAAATCCTAAACGGATAGAAGGCCAATATGTGTTTTCGGGGGAACAAACAGCATGTCAGAATGTTTCCAATCTCTATAGAGAAATTGGAAACGCGGCTGCAAAGGAAATTCTTTAAGGCCTTTGCGCGTTCTAAGCCACTGGCCACAGAGACTCTAATTCTCTGATGAGCTTGCCCCTTAGGAGTCACAGTCTACTGCTTTTTCTCCCAAATTAAAGGAGACCGTGTCAGCACTTATTGATGCAGTGCATACTGAAACTAAAGGATTAGCCTGTTGCATAGACCAGAGCCGTTTCCAGCCTTAGGTCTTGCAGAACTAAGCAAATTAAATGGTGCACAGTTGAAGAAACATGGGCAAATTATCCAATGACAAATAAGGTTACCTAGGAGTTTTCCATGTGCTATTCAAGTATTATTTCTGCTAACATAACCTGTGTGCACATACATCTTCAGATCTTGTATCATACAATAGAAAATAGAAAGAATGGCTGCCTATATAATCATCTGAAAGAATAAGGTCCAAGAACCCTTTTTTAACCCAAGCATTCCAATTGTTCATATGTAAAAAGTATGTGGACTGCACAATTCCCAAAGCCACTTTTGGTTTCAGATAAACGTATAATCCAATAACACAAAACAGCAAAGCAACATAAACAAAAGAAACCGATATACATTCAATAGGACAGAAATATTTTGTTTCTGGGTAATACACTATTATGACATCAGTTGTTGGGTTACCACGTTAGAGGTAACCATTGGAGGCACCTGTGTAACAGTGACTGTTACCGACAAGCAGAATGTATACCCGAGAGATCTGCCAAGTCCTGAAGGGCTTTATTTCCAGTAAACGATTGTTTAAAGCTCTGAAGTGAAAGTAACTGGATACGAAAATAACTGTGTCCTGTGCTATATCATAAGCCTTCATTCTAGGTTGAGCTGGCAGGCCTGTTTACTTCCAAAAAGAATGAAAATTACATCACTGGCTTACCTCTGTATCAGGCTGCCACCTCTCTAAAGCCTTCTGCTGCTTGAGTTTTGACCACACTGAAAAATATAAGGAAAATAATGTTATCACAAAGGCTAACCGCTATGGCAGAGAGGAGCTTACAGATAAGACAGAAAGGACCTAACATAAGGCAAACATAACACATTCAATATAAAAGCAATCACCAAATTTCCTTGCTCAGCATAACTAGGCTGAAGTGTCAGGCAAAATGGATCATCATTTTGAACCACAGTAATCATCTACCTAAGGGGTCCCCAACCACCGGGCTGCGGACAGGTCCATGGCCTGTTACCAACTGGTCCGCAGCTCCGGCAGTCTCCTGGGCAGTCCCGCTCTGAATCCAGGGCCAGAGAGGAGGAGAGCAAGGCAGCTCACCCATGTCAGTGCTGCAGAGAGCGGGGCAGCACGTCCATAATCGAGAGAGCAGAGCGGCTCTCTGTCAGTGCAGAGAGCAGAGCAGCATGGCCTGTATCGGTGAGGAGACAAAGCGTGGCCTTGTGGGGAGTGATGGTCGAGTGGATAGACTGACAGCTCTGCACCGAGCCAAGGACATGTTATAAGGTAATGAACCTTATAGTGTGTGCAGCCATCTCCTACATGTCCTCCCTTCATATTACACCCGCAGCAGCCTGGACTCCCCCCAACTGCCCTGTGTTATGTTATATGCCACACACTAATCACTACCACCCCTAAAAACCAACACCCCCCCCTAACACCGCCAGACAAAAATACATACTGCAATTCCTGTCATGCTTATTGGTTCAAAAAAGGATCAGATAGCGTAAAATAGGGCTTGACAAATTTGCTTTGAATCTAGGAGCCAGCTAAAATAGTTAGGAGCCAAGTTTTTTCTTTTATTTAATTTTGTGCCCGCGAAAATCACAAAAAACTACAATACCCAAAATTGGCCATAGGCGACGCTTTAAAAGCTTTCACCGCTCATCAGTTTAGTGTCAACAGTGACTAATGACCCTAAAATTATTGCTCGCACTCTTGCTTATTTGCGTTTGTATGTGCGTGCACGCGGGGGACTTAAGCATTTTTTTTGGGAGGGTTTTTTAAAATTTTTTAATATGCGACTCATTTTTTTTTCTTCATTTAACTTTATTGCCATCACATGTGATAGCAAATATACAACAGGTCCTCTTCATGGAGACATCAGGGGTCTATTAGAATCCTAATGTCACCTAGGGATCCCCAAAAGAAGCTGATGAAGCAGAGATCTGCTTCGCCAGGTTCTTCTCTGGCTATGGCAGCCAGAGAAATGACAGCTGAAGGCAGAAGTGATTTAATACACAACACTTCTAACTTCAGAGATCAAAGGAGGGATCAGCAAGAGGAAGAAAGCTGATCTCTCCTCCGTTATCAGTATAGGCAGCCGTTGTGCTGGTCCCAGGCCCGCACGAGTGACAGAGGAGCCCAGGATAACCAGCGTCGTAAACATACAGGGGAAAAGGAGTATCGCAATAAATAGCAAATAAGTAACAAATTATGTGGACTAGGCTCCTGGGTTTCAGAAATAATATTCAAACAGCAGAATCCCCTTAACAAAGAAATCCCATTAGTGGAGCTATCCAGTGAACAAGTAACATTTAAAAAATTTTTTAAAAGAAAGGCACAACTTCCCTTGAACGACCCCAGTGTAGGACAGAGCAGTCGGGGTTAATTTGTCAGCAGAGTAATAGGCAGTCACTGGTAGGAATGGATACACTGCATAAAAACAGTAGATACAAATGTATCAATATGTAACAGGATTACTCACTTCATTCATCTGTGACCACAAAATGAAAGTCCATCTAAGATTGCTGTGATGGATATGGAAGTGATATCTCAATGGAAGATGTTCCTGTCATAATTTGTAATCCCAGTGATTGTCTTTATAAAGATCGCACAGTTCCTCTCATTATGAATCCGGAATAGTATCATCCCCCAAAAAAAAAAATTTACATTCATTAACAATCAGGCTCCTGATTAATGTGCTCCATTGGACACATTGTCGCAGGAACTTCATCCATCTTCGCTTCACTGTACAGCCGCACGTACAAGGGGAACCCCTGAGGCTATCCCCATATGCGAGGAAATATATGCATTTTTTTTTTGGATGATACTATTCCGGATTCATAATGAGAGGAACTGTGCGATCTTTATAAAGACAATCACTGGGATTACAAATCATCACAGGAACATCTTCCATTGAGATATCACTTCCATATGCATCACAGCAATCTTAGATGGACTTTCATTTTGTGGCCACAGATGAATGAAGTGAGTAATCCTGTTACATATTGATACATTTGTATCTACTATCTTTATGCAGTGTATCCATTCCTACCAGTGACTGCCTATTACTCTGCTGACAAATTAACCCCGACTGCTCTGTCCTACACTGGGGTCGTTCAAGGGAAGTTGTGCCTTTCTTTTAAAAAATGTTTTAAATGTTATGTATTAGGTGCTTATGGTGCCCCCCCAAAAATTATTTGACTTACCCTGCCGGTCCCATGAGGCGGGCAAGTATAAGTCATTTATGACCTTTTATTTTTTATTAATTTGATAAATGACAGGTTCTCTTTAAGGTGACATTAGGGGTCTATTAGACTCTTAGTGTCACTTTTACACTTCAATACTTTAACTGGGTAATGGCAGCTGCCAGCTGAGGCAAGCTGAATGTAAACAGCAGGCTGGAAGCAATAGCCAGCCTGCTGTTAGCTATTTCAAATTGCAATAACCAATAGCAGGATGGCTATTGAACCAGCCCACTGCCTGCTGTCAATCAGCAGGAGAGACCTGAGGGACAAAGTTCTCCATGTCCTGCTCTGATGATTGACAGCAGGCAGTGGGCTGGTTCAATAGCCAGCCTGCTATTGGTTATTGCAATTTGAAATAGCAGGCTGACTATTGCTCTCGACCGCTGGATTGGAGACCTGTCACGGCCGGCAGTTTTTCAGAAGAGGGGGCAGTGGCACGAGGAAATACCGATTTTCAGCAGTCTCCCCTCACAGGCTTGTAACCTGCTGCTGCGGTCTGTGTCAGAGGGGACACAGATCAAAGCATACAGCTGGGAGGAGAGCGGGTTATTGCGGCAGCGGTAGAAGGGGGAACAATAATGCCAGCTACCTTCTACTCACCTCCCTGTTTTCTTCAGCACTGTGTGTGGGATATAGCAGTGAAGAGAAGAAAAGTGACACAAGTGTGGAAGGACCAACAGCGCATCTTCCGGGGGAAGCGTGGTGCATTGAACGAGCTGGCAAAAGCCCAGATGCCAGGACGCAATTTCTAGTTGCATTGGCGACCTGGCATTTGTCAAGCCCTGCCATAAAAACATGGGAAACAGACCGTATTTACTCACAGGAAACTGCATCTTCTATCTGTGTGACATTAGCAAAGTGAGCTGTATTTGGAATGCCCAGACACCGCATACCATGGGCATGCCTCCATTCCTGGTGATGAGATCAGAAGAGAATAACATTAGTGGCAGTTAATTGTGAGACAGAGTTATAAAAAAAATAAAAAACACCACATTGTAATGGCTTTTATCTTAGAATTAACATATTAAAGACTTACTGCAAAATGGCGTTGGAAAGCTTTGGGCCCCCTGTAGGTGTAATTTCCACAAATCTCACAGTTGTAGTTGATATTAAGTCCATGCAATTTGTAAAGCCAGTAAGGTATAGGCTACAAAAAGAAAAACAAGATGGAACACAATATCACTCACTTTATTCTCTATAGGTTTTATTTTTTGATTCCTAACCATAAAAAAGAAAATTACAAAACCACTGCACCATTTAAGCGAGAGGAGGGGGAAGTTACTACTTTGGTAGAAAACAATGGTGGCTGCATTGTGGTCAAATGGTCATACATATACACCAGGGGTAGCAAACCTCCGGCCCTCCAGCTGTGGTGGAACTACAAATCTCATGAGGCACTGTAAGATTCTCACAGCCACGACTCCTGAAGAGAGATGCATCATGCGATTTGTAGTTTCACCACAGCTGGAGGCCCGGAGGTTTGCAACCCCTGATATACACACTTGTTCACTTGTGTGTGTAACTTTCAGCTAAATCTACTGAACCTTCTTTTTCGACAAGAAGAAACAAGAGAAAAGGAGCAGACATCTCCACACGGTGACTGTATATAAAATACAAAACGTTCATGAATACTTCATATGTACCAGACAATAAGAAAAAACAAAATATATGCAGATTATAAAAACAACAGAGATCTCCTACCTTTCCATCCCAACCCAGGGGAAGGTTTTTGGGGTTATAAATGATTTCATTTTCCTCATCTTCACTCTCACTCTCGCTTAGCTGCTCCTCCTCTTCTTCCCTCTCATCACCTGTCCGGGCCTGCTTTCGCTGCACATTTTCATGAGTCAGGTGTCTCTGCTCCTGGAATCAAAGTGAACAGACAAAATCAAATCTGATATAACTGACAGTGTAGTGTTAAAGGGTCAGTTAACCCAAAACCGGTATTTTAACACCCAAGAGTGTTCATTGCTCAATAAAATAATCTGCACTTGAGTTCCTGAATAACTACTCCTATTCTTACTTTACCTTCTAATTATTTTATTTATTCCACACTGTGGAGAAAGCAACAGGAGAAGCTGGAGCAAACCAAACTGCTAGGTGAATGGGATGACAGTCTGGAATTATGGCAGGAAGATCTTACAGATGCAGTATCCATGACATATTAGCCATATTGAGCCAGGGACTAAGCCACTGGGCTTCACCTAGAACTAAAATCAATTAATGGATAGACTTTGAAGGGTTAGAACATTTGTCAGGCCCCCACTGTGGAGATTTTCCATAATTTCCTATCTAGAGACACAACAGAAAGGGATCAGAAATCTCTTAACAGTTTTCAATACAGAAAGATTCAGTTTGATCTCCCCAACAGGGACACAAAACAGCAATAAAAACTTAAAAACAGTTCAGAATTAAATAGATCTGAAATCTGTGACTGTACATGGTGTTACTTAAAGTTTCCAAAACCTGGACAACGCATGTTTCGACAGCCAATGCTTCTGCAAGCTAATATTTCAGCTTTGCACTGTTGTTGGCTCACTGAATCATGCTGGTCCCAGAGAGATACATCTCCAAGAGAATTCCCAGTTCTGCTCTACTGATGTAGTCATTACAAAACCAAATGATGCGTCACATTCTCCCAGTGGCTTTTCTACTCTGTAGACTAAACGGATAACCAAGGAGTCCATCCAAAGAAGAGTGACACCTTTGTTATGACCTTATTGAAGGGGGTGACACAAATCACTTTAGAGGAAATCTCTCCAACAGAAGTTATGAGACATACAAGAATGAAGCAAGTGATGCAACCTATTGGTCCCCACCAACAACCGATTTTTAGGTGTAGCTGGCTTTTGCGATAAAAATGACTGACATCAATTTTCTTGGCAGATAACTAGTACTAACCTTGTCAAGCAATAATTATTCAAATAAGACACTTGTGCACTATTAGCCTGCATTTTATTGAATTTTAAGAGAGGTTGTGGATTGATTATTGGACATTTGACAAATCATTTATCTTTTTTAGCCTAAAACAAACAGTTATATAAAGTTAAATAAAATGACTTACAGATAGGATTTCAACGTATTCATAAATCTGAGCTTCAAGAAAGGCGATGTCCTTGTTCTTTTCTGTGTCTCTGTTGAAATACACATACTGTAAAATCAATATGTACACTTTCATATGAAATGCACTAAACCACTCCCAGACCTACACAGCAATGATATAAACTGCATAACCTATATGCACGTATACGTCTCTGTGATGGTGCCTGCCTACCCAGAGTTGTGGCTGACATTCCATACTTAGACTACAACCTCAATGTTGACACTAGTGTAAGTAACCAGAGATAAAAGGTAGAGCATCTCCAGTCTTGTAAGTTGGCTCCATTCAACTCTACTTATAGTCAACAGGTAAGAGACGTGCAGTGGGAGAAAGTAAACAAAATCAGGGTTGGGGTAGGCTTTAGCTGCCATTTAGGGATATAGGATCATATGGGGTACAGCTTTTTATAGCTGTACTAAAAAGGGTTAGGAGATTGTTTAGTGTACTTTGCATTAACTGGCAGTTGCTCTAAATATATATCCACCGGGAACATCTTGGAAAACTTTCTGATCAAGTGACCACAAAGCGATCGGAAATCTTCACAATAGGAGGGGAAACAGAAACACCTCACATAGTTTTGTGTAAAGTTATGAAAGGTCAGTACCTAACATTTGCCTACAGTTCCAACTTAAAGAGGAACATTAACCACCAGTTTAATGTAAAGGTTGCCAGGGAGCTTATTTGAGCTTTCAACAAAACTTTAAAGCTCTCAAATGGCTGGTGTCTCAGCGCATCACATGTGCAGCACCATGGCAACTGCAATCCAAATGGAGGCTAAGATGGCACCTTCCTCAGCTTTAGGGGAAAGGAGGTTGCAGTTCCGCTTTAACTTAAAAGGAGAATTGTGGGGTAAGTGAAATATACTCACCCCCATAATTCAAGCCGACCTGCAACACGGAAGTGGTCACAGGTCAGCTCTATTGATCAAGAAGCAAACACATACCGCAAATCGCTGACTTCCTGATCTTCTCTCTGCCGAGAGCGGTGACCGTCAGTCACTGCTCCCCGCGGGGATTCCCCCCCCCTCTGACTGTGAGGAACGGATGAGGGAGGGGGTGGGCAGAGCCAGCTGTCAGACAGCAGGGTGAATCTTGACAGTATTGACGAGAGTCGTCCTGGCTGCACTCTCAGCATATAGTTGGCAATAGCGTAGAGATTTTTGGGTCACCAGAGGACATTAACATACGTCTTCCTGTGACCCTGAAGAGAACTATGACCAAAAAGGGTTAGGCCATAGTTCTCCTTTAACATCACAACTCAAACTTTAAAAGATATTCCTAAAGTAACCCTGTCACACGATGCTGTCGTTTTGTCCTGGATGCTGCATATATGGTACACTTCCAAACATCTGGAACAACTGTTCCCATGCAGGATACTGTGGTTCAATAAACAAGCTGACAGGAAGAACCACTGTGGGCAGCAGCGGTACAAGGTATTTGAATCAACTGAAGAATCAAATACCTGTAGTGGCTGGTGAGTCTCAAAGTGGAGGTGTTTCAATACACGGGTCCTGGGAAAGGTATGTATAGTGCCTCTTCTCTTACAGTATTGGTATTGTGCACATATGGCCCTGTGGTGACAGGGTCACTTTAAATATATCTACAGTTTTATCAGTTCTTGAACCAAGTTTTTATTACAAGTGTAAACGTTATTTGTGCGTATATGTGGAATTATAGACTTCAATAGTGGATAGAAAAAAGGTAGGGACCCATAGCAACCAGATTTCAACTTACTGCACTTATTAGTTAAAAGATTAATTCTAATGAATACCAAGTTGTTGCCATGAGCTAATTGCAGAAACAAAAAATACGTTTTACCCATTTTAAAAAGGAAAATCTATTTACCTTCTGATGCCCTTTGCCTTGGGGTTCTTTGTGAACAAAGAGGGATCCAATGAATCCAGAGGTTTTCCTTTAGTGGCGAACAGCCTCTGAGCTCTTTCTTCAAGAG